AATTTGCTGGACAACCTTTACCAGATATAACATGGACAAGAGCTGATGGTCAACCACTTGGTGAAAGTGTTAAAGTTGCAAATGATGAAAATGGTCTTGCAGCATTAGTATTCGATTCCACAACATTAACTGATAAATGTGGTTATATAGCAAAAGCAACAAATATTGTTGGAAGTGTTGAACAAAAGATTAATCTTGATGTTAAAGGTATGTATTATTGCAATATTAAAATGTCAATAAGTAACTAATTCTGTCCTATTTAGAAATCAAACCAACAATTGTTCGTGATCTTGAAGCGGCTATTAATGCCACCAAAGGTCAACCTATGACATTGACTATCGAAGCAACTGGTAATCCTAAACCAACAGTTAAATTTTTCCGTGGCGCAGATGAACTTGTTGCAACTGAAGGTCAAATAGAATTGAAAGAATCAGAAGATGGTCAGACATTCACAATTACAATTCTTAGTATGCAACCAAATCATCAAGGTGAATATACAGCAACTGTTCAAAATACAGGTGGAATGGCTAAAAGTAAAAAATGCAAAGTTACGGTCACAAGTAAGTCTCCTAATGATTCTAACAAATATCATGCGTATATATTTATTTCTTAATATAGAATCTCCTGAAATCATACGAGCACCACTAGATTTAACACTTGCTGAAAAATCGGAAGCCGTTTTTGAATGTGAAATAGATGCTTATCCAGCAGCTAAAGTGACATGGATTCGTGATGGTAAAGCATTAACAACTAAAGAAGGGGTTGAAATGCAAGCACAAGCTGATAAAGGTATTTATACACTTCGTATTCCACAAGCTGATACAACCAAACATATGGGTACAATAATTTGTCGTGCAGAAAATCCGATTGGTAGTATTGAGCATCCAGTTCAGTTAAACATTACTACAGGACCAACATTAAAAGCACAATTAAAAGATACTGAAGTATTACGAGGACAAGATGCCATATTTGCTGTTGATGTTCAAGGTTTTCCAATACCAGAAATAATTTGGACACGTGGTGATAAAGTACTTGAAGCTGAAAATGAAAAGATTTCATTATCTGAAGATCGAAAACAATTAACAATACATAATGTACAAATTGAAAATGAAGATGAATATAATGTTCGAATACATAATGAATTTGGTGAAATAACAAGTAAAGCTAAATTAAATGTCTTAGGTATGTTTGACTTGTTTTATAAAATATTCTTTTTAATAAAGTTTTCGTTTACTTGAAGAACTTCCTGAAATTCAACCATTGTTAGAAGATAAAAATGTTCAGATTCGTGAACAAACTGAATATTCAACAACAATAACTGGTCGCCCGTTACCAGAAATTCAATGGTTAAAAAATCAAAAACCATTAAGTGCATCTCCACCACATATTCAAATTGAAACTACTGAAGGTGAAGTTATTAAGACTACACTACGTATTGATAATATTCAATCCGATGATGATGGTACATATACAATTCGTGTAAAAAATCGTGCTGGACAAAAAGAATCAACATCAAAATTAAATGTTTTAGCTAAATTAGCATTTCTTAAAGGATTTAAAGATGAAAATGTTATACAAGGACAACCAATTACATTTCAATGTCAAATAGAAGCTATACCAAAACCAAAAGTAACATTTTATTTAAATGATCAAGAATTAAAATCTGGAGGAAAAATAAAAGTTGAATCAAAAGGAGATACACATATATTATCATTTTCAAAAGTTGATTTACCTGATAGCGGTGTTATTAAAGCTATAGCTGATAATGGTTTAGAAAAAGATGAAATAAGTGCAAAATTAAATGTTTGCTTAAAACCAAGTCTTGTTGGAAAACCTACTGATGCTCAAGTATCAATTGGACAACCAGCAAGATTACAATGTACTTTTACTGGTTTACCAATGCCTGAATTGAAATGGTCACGTGTTGATGGACAACCTTTAAATGAAGGAATTGAAATAGCTAATGATGAAAATCAAGGTATTGCTGCATTAGTTTTTAATTCATCTACAATGGCTGATAAGGGAGCATATGTTGTTAAAGCAACAAATGTTGTTGGAAGTGTTGAACAAAAACTTAATCTTGATGTTAAAGGTTTGTATTATTTCAATATTAAATTTCAATCAATGACTGTTTTTGTCCTATTTAGAAATCAAACCAACAATCGTTCGTGATCTTGAAGCGGCTATTAATGCCACCAAAGGTCAACCTATGACATTGACTATCGAAGCAACTGGCAATCCTAAACCAACAGTTAAATTTTTCCGTGGCGCAGAAGAACTTGTTGCAGCTGAAGGTCAAATTGAATTGAAAGAATCTGAAGATGGTCAAACATTTACAATTACAATTCTTAGTATGCAACCGAATCATCAAGGTGAATATACAGCAACTGTTCAAAATACAGGTGGAATGGCTAAAAGTAAAAAATGCAAAGTTACAGTTTCAAGTAAGTTGATTATTTAATCTATAAGAAGAAAATGAAATTTTTATTTCTCTATTATTATTTAGAAACTCCAACATTTACTCGTGCACCACAAGATTCAACTGTTCCAGATAAATCTGAAGCAGTTTTTGAATGTGAAGTAGATGCCTATCCAAATGCTAAAGTAACATGGCTTCGTGATGGTAAAGCATTAACAACTAAAGAAGGTGTTGAAATGCAAGCACAAGCTGATAAAGGTATTTATATACTTCGTATTCCACAAGCTGATACCACCAAACATATGGGTACAATAACTTGTCGTGCAGAAAATGCAATTGGTACTATTGAGCATCCTGTTCAATTAAATATTACTACAGGACCAACATTAAAAGCACAATTAAAAGATACTGAAGTATTACGAGGACAAGATGCCATATTTTCTGTTGATGTTCAAGGTTTTCCAATACCAGAAATAATTTGGACACGTGGTGATAAAGTACTTGAAGCTGAAAATGAAAAGATTTCATTATCTGAAGATCGAAGACAATTAACTATTCATAATATTCAAATCGAAGATGAAGATGAGTACAATGTTAAAATACATAATGAATTTGGTGAAGTTACTAGTAAAGCTAAACTTTCATGTTTAATAACACCAAGTATATCACCATCAACCATGGATGATATAACTTTACAACGTGGTGATGAAAGTGAACATCAATTTGAAATTGAAGGTCGTCCACAAGTTGATATAACTTGGTTGAAAAATGGTAAAGAACTTAAATTAACTGAAAATCCAAATTATTTATTCACATCCGATAAAGAAAATAATAAAGAATTATTTAAAATTATGAAAGCTGATGGTGATGATCAAGCACGTTATACATTACAAATAAAAAATAAAGCTGGTAAAGCTGAAGTTAATATCAATGTTATTGTTAAAGCTAGTTTACAATTTGTTAAAAAACTTACTGATGTTGCAACTGTCGTCGGACAACCTGTAACATTTACATGTGAATGTTTTGGTTTACCAAAACCAACCGTAATTACATGGTATTTTAATGATATTGAATTAAAAGGAACAGCAAAATATAAAATTGAATCAAAATATCCTTTAATAACATTAACGATAAATAAAACTGATTTAATTGATATTGGTAAATATCGTGTTGTTATTACAAATGGTGAACAAACAATTGAAAGTGAAGGTAATTTATTAGTACAAACAAAACCAAAATTAGAAGGTAAACCACAAGATGCACAACCAATTATTGAAGAAACAGCAAGAATACAATGTAAATTTTCTGGTTCACAACCATTTACTGTCACATGGTTAAAGAATGGTGAACCACTAACATTACCAAATGATAATATTGAAGTTATTAGTGAAGTTGATAGTGGTATTCAAGCACTTGTATTTAAACGTGTTGATATCGAAGATAAAGCAAGTTATACTGTTCAAGTTGCGAATATGGTTGGACAAGCCGAAGGAAAAATGACTTTAGCACCAAAAGGTTTGTAATTTTTCTAGTCTAAGCAATAAATAATAATATGATTTGTTTTAAATAGAAATAAAACCAACAATAATTACGGATCTTGAAGGCAGAACTGTTCAAAAAGGTGAACCATGTGAATTAACAATAATTGCTGAAGGTAAAGCACAACCAAAATGTCAATGGACATTTAATAATCAAGATTTAACATTAATACCTGGAGAAATTGAATCTGTTGTTGATGAAAATGATAAACGTATATATCATTTACGATTAATATCAACACAACCAAAACATATTGGTGAATATTCATGTACATTAACAAATGGTGGTGGAAGTATAAAATCGAAAAAAGTTAAAATATCTTGTGAAAAATCACCACAATTTGCTTCTGAAACTGGTAAAACAGTTAAAGTTATTCAAGGTGATGATGCTCGAATTGAAAGTCCAATTGATGCTTATCCAATACCAAAATTTGCTTGGTAAGTTTTTTTGAAAATAAACTATTCTAATTATATATATGAAATTATTTCAGGAGTCGAACATCCGATAATAAAACTTTAACGGAAAAAGACGGTAATTATTCATTTGCATTTGATACAGATAAAAATGCATCTGTATTATTAATAAAACAAGTTAATAAAGTTGAACATGAAAATGAATATATATGTCAAGCAACCAATGAATTTGGTTCAGCTGAAATGCGTACAAAATTACTTGTTCTTATTCGACCACATTTTATTGAACAGTTAAAAGATACACAAGTTCATGAATTTACTGAACAATATGCCATTGAATATCAAGCTGAAGCTTATCCTGAACCAACAATACAATGGACACGAAATAATGAAATTATTCCATCATCATCCAATGAATTTCGTATTGAAAAAAATCGTTTAATTATACTTGAAACCAAATTAGAACATACAGGTACATATGGTGTTAAATTAACCAATGAAGTTGGTGAAATTGAATCATCTATGCAATTAACAATAACCGAACGACCGATTGAAATTGCTAAACATCTTGTTGATCTAAATGGTGTTGAGAAAGATACAAGTATATTTGAATGTGTCTTTACAAAACCAATTGAACGTGTTAAATGGCTTAAAAATGGTAAAGATCTACCAGATGAACCACGTTTTCTATGTAAAGGTGAACCAAATCAACGTTATTTTCAATTAGAAATTCATTCATTAACACTTGATGATACAGGAGAATATTCATGTATTTATGATGAAACAACAAATTCCAAAGCAATGTTAACAGTTGGTGAATTACCAGTTGATTTTGAAAAACCATTATCAAATCAATCATTAACTGAATATGATACATTAACACTTGAATGTATTGTAACAAAAGCAAATAAACAAGTTAAATGGTTTTTTGATAATCAAGAAATTCAAGCAAATGATCGTTGTCGATTTGAAACTGATGAGAAAACTCATCGATTAATTATTAGTAATATGTCACCGAATGATGAAGGAAATTATGATGTTATTACTGAAAGTGATCGAAAAAGTTCAGCATTTGTTAGTGTTAAAGAAATTCCTGTTGAATTTATTCGTCCGTTAACTGATGTTGAAGTTCAAGAACGTGCATCAGAATTAATTCTTGAATGTGAATTAAATAAAAATGTTCATGTTGAATGGTATCGTTTATCAACACAATTAACATCCTATACAGAAGAACAACGTATTATACTTGAACAGAATGATCTTGTTCATCGTTTAATAATAAAAAATATTCAAATGAATGATAATGCAACCTATTCATGTCGTTATCCATCACAAAATGTTGAATCATCATGTAAAGTACATGTTACGGAATTACCATTAGGTTTTGTACAAGGTTTAAATGATGAATATGTCATAACTGAAAATGATGATTTAATATTAGTTGTTGAATTAAATAAAATGAATTTATTGAAATATGAATGGCTTAAAGATGGTGTTGTTATTGAAAATAATGATCATATACGAATGAATGTTCAAGGTGAAAAATATCAATTGAAATTAACTGATGGTAAACTTGGTGATCAAGGTAAATATACATTTCGTATACCTGAAGTTAATCTTGAAACAAGTACAAATGTTAAAATAAATGAATTACCTATTTATTTTACACGAGAATTAAAAGATATAACAACAGCGATGGAAAATACACAAAATTATCAATATGATTGTGAAATAAATAAAGAAAATAAAATAGCACAATGGTTTAAAGATGATGAACAACAAGCATTAGTATCAAATGATGAAATCAAAATACAAACTATTGGACGTATACATGCATTAGTTTTTAATTCAGTCCAAACTAAACATGCTGGAAAATATACATGTCAATTTACTGATGAAATTAAATCGATTGGTGCATTACGAGTTGAAGATGCTCCAACGGAATTTGAAGTTGGTTTACAAAATACAATTGTTATTGAAGATGAACCACTTATATTAGAATGTACACTTACAAAAGATCGACCGGATGATGTAGTTACATGGACATTCGATGGTGAACCATTAATTATTGATAATGAACGTATTAAAGTTACAAGAGAAGGTCCGGTGATTAAATTAGTTATTGATGAATGTCAATTGACTGATGAAGGACGTTATCAAGCTGAAATAAATGGTAAAACAAGTAAAGCATCTGTTACTGTTAAAGAGAAAAAACTACAATTTACTCGTCCATTACAAAATATTGAATGTGATGAATGGTCAAAATGTATACTTGAATGTGAAATTAATAAACGTAATGTACAATCTCGTTGGTATAAAGATCAATCAGAAATTTATCCAAATGATCAATATCAATTTGAAATTGATAATAAAATTCAACGTTTAATTATCACTCGTGTTGAATTAAATGATACAGCTACTTATGATTGTGTTTGTCGACAAGAGAAAACATCAGGAAAATTAACTATTAAAGAATTACCCTATGAATTTATTCGTCCATTAGATGAAAGTGTAACTATTGTTGAAAAACAACAATTAGTACTTGAATGTGAAACAAATAAACCATTACAAGATAATTTAGCTGTATGGACACGTAATGGACAACCTCTTACACATAGTCCTCTTGATGGTATACTTATAAAAACACTTGATAAAGTTCATACATTAACTATATATGAATGTAAAATGAAAGATGATGGACAATATCAATGTACAATAAAACAAGCTAGTACAACATGTCTAGTAAAGATGAACGGTAATAATTCCTTTTTTGTTTTATTTAATTATATTTTTCTTTTGATTTATAGAAGCACCTGTTGAATTTGTACGTCCACTTGAAAATTTAACAGTGACAGAAGGTCAACCATTAAAATTAAGTTGTACATTAAGTAAAGAAAATTGTACAGTTATATGGTTGAAAGATATCGAAGAAATACCAATGACTGCAGATGAAAATAATCGATTTGAAGCCACCAATGATGGAAGAGTTTATCGATTAGAAGTTAAAGAATCGAAAATGATCGATGCTGGAATGTATACGATTAAAGTTGAAGATAAAGAACAATCTTGTCAAGTTACTGTTACAGGTAAATCACCATATCTAAATTTACTATTTTCTACTCATTTGTTTTTGTTTAATAGAAGCACCAATTGAAATTGTTATCCCATTAAGTGATAAAACATGTGTTGAAGGTACAACGGAATTTTCTGAATTTTATGTTGAATTAAATAAACCAAATATTAATATTATATGGAAATGTGATGATGAACCAATTGATTTTACTAATTCGAAATATTCAAAACTAAATGAAAAAACCAAATATACATTGGTGATTCATAATGTTGAATTATCCGATGAAAAAATGTATTCTTGTCAAGTTAGTGGTGGAACATCATCACGTGTTAAATCTCAAGCACATTTAACAATTGATGAATTACCACCCGAATTTGTTTTAACAACAACACCATTACAAGATCGTGAATGTTTTGAAGAAGAAGATGTTGAATTTGAATGTGAATTAAGTAAATCAAAATGGAAAAAAACTGGACAAACAATTATATGTAAATGGTTCAGAAATGGTGATCGAGAATTACGTTCAACAGCTAAATATTCTATTGATCGTTCCGGACCAATACAAAAATTAATTATTCATAATGCACAATTTGAAGATGATGGAGAATATAGTTGTGTTATTATGGATAAAACTATTAATGCTAAACTTACTGTTAAAGGTAAATATTTTTTGTTATTTTATAATAGAATTCGTAACGTTTTTATTTCATTTTAGAAATTCCTGTTGCATTTACTCAATTACTTGAAGATATTCAAACAACTGAACGCGAAACTGTTACATTTCAATGTGAAATATCCAAAACTCATTCAACACGTACACAAACAGAAATACCTATTCAATGGTATCGTGATGGTGTTAAATTAGTTGGTGGTGGTCGATTTGAAATATCCAAAGCATCATTAAATAAACGACAAATCTTAAAAGTTATTAATGCTAGTTTAACCGATTCAGGTGAATATGCTTGTACAGCTGGTAGTGATCAAATACGTACAGTTGCTAATTTAACTGTTGGTGATCTTGATGTTGAATTTTCTCAAACATTACAAGATCGTACTATACTTGAAGATCAAACATTAATACTTGAATGTGTTGTTAATCGTACAGATAAACCAATAGCATGGTTTTTTAATGATCAAAAAATAGAATCAGGAACAAAATATGATATTGGTCGAGAAAAAAATAAATTACGTTTAGTTATTAAAAATGTTACACTTGATAATGAAGGACAATATACATGTCGTGTAGCTGATGTTAAAACACAATGTAAAGTTATTGTTGATGAAGAAAATGTTCGTTTTATTGAACGTTTAACTGATATTGGAACAAAAGAAGGTGAATCGGCTAAATTTCAATGTTCAGTGTCAAAAATAAGTTACGTTAAAGCTAAACGTGATATTAATTTTAAATGGTTACATGATGGAAAACCTATTGAAGACAATGATGAGAAAAAATATGCATTTGAATTTGATAAAACACAAAAAGTATTAAAATTAACAATTAATGATGTTGGTAATGATGATATTGGTATAATTACATGTCAAGCCGATGATGTAACAACCATTGGAAGATTAAATGTTGAAGAAATTCCAATATATTTTGTTCGTAAACCTGAAGATCAAATCTTAACTGAATTACCAAATATATGTTTATTTGAATGTGAATTAAATCGTGCAGGTGTACAAGTTAAATGGTTACATAATAAGAAAGAATTAGATTTCAAAAAAGATAAAATTGAATTTCATAATACAGATACAATTTATCGATTGAAATTATTACAAATTGATGTTGAAGATCAAGGTGAATATGTATGTGTAGCACGTGATAAAAAAGCACAAGCATTTTTAAAATTACAAGTACCACCGAAAATAAAATCATTTCAAGCAAATTCAAAATTAATTAAACATGATCAAATCTTAGTTATTGATGTTTTGTATACAGGATGGCCTGAACCAACCTATGAATGGAATAAAACAAATAATAAAATGAAATCAAAATTAATTAAACATGGACATATACAAATGACAATTGATAATACAAAACGAAGTGATTCAGGTTTATATGAAATCGTATTGAAGAATGATTATGGACAAGATCAAAAGAATGGTAAGATTGAAGTACTTGATAAACCAAGTAAACCAAATAATTTAATGGCAAAATTAATTGATATTGGTGAATGTGAATTAGTATGGGAAGAACCTGAAGATGATGGTGGTTCACCATTAACTGGTTATTGTATTGAAAAATGTGAAGAACGACGAGCTTCATCATGGGATGAAGTTTGTGTGATGAGTTTTGAAGAAAGAAAAACAATTGTTAATCGATTAATTGATGGTGCTAAATATCGTTTTCGTGTTAGTGCAGAAAATAAATATGGTCGATCAGAACCATGTGAATATCCGGAAACAATACTTATTAAGAGTCCATTTGGTAAGCTATAGATTTTATAAATTATTGAATCTCTATATATATGTATTCTAGATCCTCCATCGACACCAGAAGCTCCTCTCATTGATGAAATATTTGCAACAACATGTCGTGTTCAATGGACACCACCAACTAGTGATGGTGGTTCACCATTAACAGGTTATATTGTTGAACGTCGTTTACAAGGTGCTACACGTTGGTCAAAAGTCACAAAACAACCAATTAGTCCAGATATCACTCAAGTGATTTCTGAAGATCTTATTGAAGGCAGTGAATATGAATTTCGAGTTATTGCTTGTAATAAAGTTGCACAATCAGAACCAAGTGCTCCATCAAGAACTATTATAGCAAAAAATCCATTTGGTAAATTATTTATTCTTCGTTTGCTTATATTATTGTATTTTTTTTCTCGTTATTAAAGATAAACCAGGTGCACCACTTGAATTAGTTATTGATTCAGTTGGTAATGAATGGATTGAATTAAGTTGGCAACCACCGCTTTCCGATGGTGGTTCACCAATAACAGGTTATGTTGTTGAACGACGAACACCTGGAAATTATAGATGGCATGTAAGTTAAAATAATAGATTTTGTTTTTTTTTTCGATTATGTTATATATCGTTTTGTTTATTAAGGCTCCAACTGAAGCAAGTGAAGGTACAACAGCAAAAATACGTTCATTACATACAGGACATAAATATGAATTTCGTGTACGAGCACAAAATCTAGCTGGTCTTGGTGAACCATCGAATTCTACCAAAGAAACTGAAATACGAGCACCAGTTATTGGTGAAAAACCAAGATTTATTCAAGAACTTGAACCTATTACTGTTGTTACTGGACGATCTGTAACATTAACTGCACGTGTTAAAGGTGATCCAACACCAGAATATCGATGGTCAAGAAATGATCATCCGATTGTTGAAGATGATCATGTCAAGTTAGAAGTTAATGGTGAAACAGTTAAATTAATTATTGCTGAAGTTGCACCAACAGATGCAGGTGTTTATGAATTAATAGCAGAGAATGCTCTTGGTTCAATTGAATGTACTGCTCGAGTAACTGTACATTCACCACCTGTTATTGTCAAATCGACGCCATCACCTATAAGTGTTGCTGTTGGACAAGTTTTATATATATCATGCGAAGTTACTGGCTATCCTCGACCAACTATGGTTTGGGAACCAGAAAATGACCGGGCACGTACTGAACAATCGGATACATTTGTTGCTTTATCTATATCACGAGCACGCGCAAATGAAGGTGGAAATTATAAATTAATCTTAAAGAATGTTGCTGGTACAGCCGAAGCATCATTTGATGTACAAATTCAAAATGTTCCACAACCCGTACGTAATCTTAAAATTGATAATATACAAGGTGATTCAGCACATGTAACATGGGAAGAACCATTAGATGATGGTGGTTTACCAATAACTTCCTATTATGTTGAATATCGTGATATACGTCGTGGACAATATATTAAAAGTGAACGTCTTACAGGTCAAACATTAGAATATGATCTTAGTCGTTTAACAAAAGGTTCAAAATATACTGTAAGAGTTTTAGCAGAAAATAAAATCGGTCAATCAGAGCCAACAGAAATAAGTGAACCATTTATTGCCAAAAATCCATTTGATGTACCAGGTGCACCACGAGAACTTAAAGTAACTGGTGTAACAAGATCATCATGCCAATTACAATGGTTACCACCTAATAGTGATGGTGGAGCACCCATTCAAGGATATATTATTGAAAGACAAACAGAAAAACGTTGGGTTAAAGCGATACCAACATTAGTTGAAGGAACAACTGCACAATTAATTGATTTAATTGAAGGTTAGTTAATAAATAAAAAAATTCATATTTATCTTAAATGTCTTTTGTTTCATTCATAGGAGATATTTATGATTTCCGAGTTGCTGCTGTCAATGAAGAAGGTCAAGGTCCATATAGTCGTCCAAGTGAATCAGTGACTATTAAAGATCCATATGATGTACCAACACAACCTGGACCTATTGATGTTAATGAATTAACTGATACATCATGTACACTTTCATGGAAACCACCTATTCGTGATAATGGTAGTCCAATTATTGAATATATACTTGAACAACGTTTTAAATCTGATCCATCATTTACACGTGTAGAAACAACAATACCTATTACTGAATGTTATCATAAACTCAGTGATTTATTAACAAATGGTGAATATGAATTTCGTGTAGCTGCACGTAATCAAGCTGGTTTAAGTGCATATTCTCAAACAGATCGATCTGTATATATTCGAACTCCACGACAAGGTATTGCACCACATATTGAAAAATTCCCCAATCAAACAATAACTGCTGGTAGTCAAGGACGTATTGAAGCAACTATTACTGGTTCACCTGAACCAGAAATAATTTGGTATCGAGGTGGTCGAAAACTTCCTCTAACAACTGGCCGTTATACTTCATCACTTGCCGAAGGTATTCTTATTCTTTATATCAAAGAAGTACAAGAAAATGATGCTGGAAAATATACATTAGAAATTCAAAATGATTATGGTAGTGATAGTAAAGAAATTCAATTAACTGTTTTAGCAGCACCTAAAATTGACTATGACTCAAAATATCGAAAACAAATTATTGTTGGACTTAATTCATCTATACGTATACCATTCACATTTTCTGGTTCACCTGAACCAGAATTAACAATTAGTCGAACAGATGAATCACAAGAAAATCATGCAACACTTGATTTATTTGAAAATAGTGGTACATTATTATTACGTCAAGCAACACGTAAAGATACAGGTTTATATCGTATACAAGCAACAAATGAATGTGGTACAATCAATGTACGTTTTGATGTACTTGTTCAAACTGTTCCATCACCACCTGGTGGACCATTACAAGTAACTGCTAGTGGAAAAGATTATGCTAGTCTTGCATGGCATACATGTCCAGATGATGGTGGAAGTGAATTAGTATCATATATTATTGAAAAACGTGAAGAAAATAAATCCATGTGGACAAAAGTTGCGTCAACACGTCCAACAAATACAACATATACATGTAACGGTTTACTTGATCAAACAAGTTATTTATTTAGAATATTTGCAGAAAATGATATAGGTATAAGTGAACCATTAGAATTAGAACATACTGTTACAGCTAAATTACCATTTGAACGTCCTGGTCCACCTAATGGTCCAATTAAAGTCGATGCAATAAATCAAACTGGTTGTACATTAACATGGTTACCAGCAACTGAAGATGGTGGTACAAAAATAACATGTTATATTATTGAAGGTAAAGAAGTTAATCGACATTCATGGACACAATTAGAAAGTGTTTCTGGTAATGAAACAACAGTTGATATAAGAAATTTGAAAGAAGATACAACATATGTATTTCGTATTATGTCAAAAAATATTGTTGGTCTTTCACAACCACTTGATAGTGAAGATGTAATATTAAAACGACCAAAAACAGTTCCACATGCGCCTGTACCATTCTTTGTTAGTGATATTGATATTAGTAGTTGTACATTAGAATGGGAAATACCAAAATTTACAGGTGGAGAAAATATGCAAATTAAAAATTTTCTTATTGAACAACGTATTGGTGATAAAGAATCAACACCATGGAAAGCTGTTGCTGAACCTGATCCATATGTAACAAGTGCTTCGATTGGACATTTGAAAGAAGAAAAAGAATATTATTTCCGTATTAAAGCTGTTAATGAACTAGGAGAATCAAAACCAACAGAATTAACAAGACCAGTTATTCCACGTCAAAAGAGTGCTGTTCCATCAGCACCTATTGGTCCTATAAGTGCTTTAATGATAACACGTGATTCAATAACTATTAGTTGGGGACCATGTAAGGATGATGGTGGAGCCGAACTTATTGGTTATGTTGTTGAAAAACGTGATGCAACAAGAACAGTTTGGCAACGTGTTGGATATAATGATCCAAGTACATTTACATATGCAGCAAAAGAATTAATTGAAGATGTTGCATATCATTTTCGTGTATTTGCTGAGAATTCAGTTGGAATGTCACCACCATTAACAACAGTTGATCCAATTGTTGCTAAGAGTCCATATACACGTCCAGATAAACCTGAAGGACCATTATTAACAAAGATTGTTTCATCAAATTCAATTGAATGTTCATGGCAACCACCATTGCATGATGGTGGTACAACATTAACTGGTTATTCAATTCAAAGACGTGATATATCAAGACCCATTTGGGTTACAGTAAGTTACATCAATCAATCAATCAATATAGACTTTTATTTTTTATTTAGGCTGGACATGTATCTGGTGATATATGTCGTTTTACAATAAAAGATTTACCTGAAGAAGGTTCTTATGTAATTCAAATCTTTTCAGAAAATTCTGAAGGACAATCATTAGAACCATTGGCATTAGAACAACCTGTCAAATTATCACGTAAAATTGATGTACCTGAACCACCAGCTAAACTTGATGTTATAGCTAAAAGTGATTCATCTATAACATTACAATGGGAATCGTCACGTAACGATGGTGGTAGTCCATTAACAGAATATCTATTAGAAATGCGTGAAAAGAAAGGTAAAAATACTGAATGGGTACAAGTACAAATTTTACCACCCATCGCAACAAGTTTTCGAGTAACAAAACTCGATGAAAATCTCTATTATAATTTCCGTATTAAATCAGCAAATGCTATTGGATATAGTGAACCAAAATCATTGGAAAAAGCTGTAAAACCACAAAAACAAAGTGGTAAGTTTATCTGTTTTAAATATTTTTCATCTTTTATTTAACTATTGTTTTTAGAACCTCCATCTATGCCTGGTAAGCCATTAGTAACGACAAATCATGATCCAACATCCATAGCTATATCATGGAAACCATCATTATCAAGTGGTTCAAGTGATCTTGCAGGATATATTATTGAACGTCGTGATGCACTTAAAGCACATTGGATTCCAGTAAAGAAAGTTTCAACAAGTCAGTTCAATCTTGTTATCTCAGAATTAACTGAAGGTTCAAGTTATTATTTCCGTGTATGTGCATTGAATGAAGATGATCTTCAAAGTGAATGGCTTGAATTAGATACAGCTGTTCTTTGTCGAAATCCATATGATGTTCCATCACCACCAAAAAATCTTGTTGTCAATGAAATTATTGGACAAACAGTACGTATACAATGGGATGCACCTGAATCTGATGGTGGTAAACCAATACGTGCTTATATTATTGAACGACGTGATACAAACCGAACAACGTGGTTAAAAGAAGGACGTAGTAAAACAACAACATATGAGATTGAAAATTTACCATTAAATGCTCAACATTTAATACGTATTACAGCTGAAAACGAAGAAGGGTTATCAGCATCTTGTGAAATTGATAGACCTGTACAAATTGATGCCAAAGATAGTAAGCAATTCTTTTTCTTTTAAATCGTCCTAAATTTTTTTTATTAATTTTTAGTTTCATTACCAAAACCACGTGATGTTGAAATTGGTAAAGTTAAAGGTCAATCAATAACATTAACATGGTTACCAGCTACAGGTTCATTACAAGATAAAACTGATACAATATCATCTTATATTATCGAAGCATGGAATTCTGAAGAACGTTCATGGCTTGAATTAGATAAAGCTGATGCAAGTGAAACAACATATACACGAACAGATTTTAAAACAGATTTATCTTATCAATTTCGTCTTCGAACATTAACACGTAATGGTCGACGTTCATCACCAACACGTGAAACGCAAGTTTTATCACTTAAACGTACAATTGAACCACCAGATACACCAGAAAATTTAACAATAACAGAAGAAACTGATGATGGTATAACACTTAATTGGCGTGAAAGTTCAAAAACTAAACGTTATATTATTGAAAAACGTGAAGCATCGAAAAAAGTTTGGGTACCAGTTGGTGAATCAACTGGAACAAGTATTCGTGTTGAACATCTTATGCGTAATAGTCTATATGAAGTACGTGTTTTTGCTGAAAATGCATCCGGTGATCGTTCCAACAATGCAGGAACATTATCATTTCAATTTAAAGGACGTCAAGTACCTCCTGGTTTATGTGAACAATTGAAAGTTAAACAGCATAGTCCTACAGCATGTATACTTACATTTTTACCACCTATTGATACTGGTAATGCACCTATTCGAAATTATATTGTTGAAAAACAAGTAATGGGTCGTTTAACATGGCAAACTGTTAATGATTCATTACAAGCATGTACATGTCTTGTAACTGATTTAACACCTGATACACAATATAAATTACGTGTAGCTGCATCAAATGAATTTGGACAAGGAGAATTTATTGAAACAGAAACAATACATATTAAAGAACAAAATAGTAAGTTAAATGAAATGAAAAATAAAAAATAATATTTTGTTATTTATAGTTCCACCATCGAAACCTGTTAATTTAACTGTAACAGATAGTACATATACATCTATTGATGTTAGTTGGTTATGTCCACGTGAATATGGTTCTAAACCAATAAAACATTACGTACTCTATCGACGTTCAACAAAATCTGGTTCCGAATGGAAATTAATTCATCGTTTAAATCGTACACAACTTTCTTATACATTTGAAAATCTTGATTCGTCATTATCATATTATTTACGTGTTACAGCAGAATCTGATGCTGGTGAATCTGAACCATGTGAATTACCATCAGCTGTATCACCGAAAAAGAAAGCTAAACCACCTCCAATAGTTGATCATGTTTTTGTTCGTACAATTGATGATGGAATTATTAGTATTCAATGGAGTGGTTTAGATTCTGATGACAGTACACAATCGGAACAAAATATTAATTTACTTGGATATATTGTTGAAATGCATGATGGTAGAGACTGGGTTGAAGTTGAACGAACAACGAATGAAACACGTACATGTACAGTTACACATTTAAGACAAGATATTGATTATAATTTTCGTGTATCCGGTTATAATCGTATAGGACAAGGTCGTTCAAAAGAAATTGATACACCTGTTAAAGCTAAATCACCATTTTCGAAACCAGGTCAACCATTAGGTCCAATTAATATAACAAATGTAACACGATCAACAGTTGATTTAAGTTGGGCACCACCTTCAAATGTAAATGATATTCCAATAACACATTATTTTGTTGAAAAACTTCGTGATGGTATTTGGATTAAAGTCGGTCGTTTACCACCAACATCAACATCGCTAAAAGTTTTTAATTTAATTGAAAATAAAGATGTATTATTTCGTGTATCAGCTGAAAATCGTTTTGGTGTTAGTGAATCATTATTATCATCAGTTATTAAACCTAGTCGATTATTAGAAACGAAAGCAACAGCAAATCTTGAATCAACAGCTGCTAGTTATTTTGAAAAGAATTTAGATCATAATGATTTTAATTTTGTTTTATATAATGATAGTCCACCATCAACAACATTTGATGCATTAAAATTTGGTGATGATATTGAAGAATATATTAAAAGTGTTTGGTAGATACAAAAAAAACTAAATAGACTAATAATTTAACCGATTATGATTATTGTTTTCTTTTGTTATAAACTATTGAAAAGAAGAAGTTGAATTTGAACAATTTCTTCTTTATTTATTATATGGCTCGCTGAATAATATAAAAAAAGAGCAGTTCCACATAATCGGTGTTATGTTTAATAGGCATAAATATGTATGCGTGCGTGTGTGTTTTAACCCACCTTTTTTTTTCTTTTTCTTCTCAACCGGATATTGTCCTGGATGAAAATATGAGAAAAAAAATGATTATACGATTTGTATTGCTCCTCCGATCGTTATAATTATTTCTTTTTCTTATATTGTTTGAATGTGGCGGTGAAAGTGTTTGTTTGTTTTCTTTTTTTACTTATCAATAAATATTACTGCATAATTATAAATGCAAAATAATGTCTTTCTCCTATAAATCAATTTACTATTCCCTCTACTGAAAGGAGGGTATTACGCAGAGTGAGTTAAGTACGTTCGTTCACTCTGATTGGTTAATTAAAACCTCTAATAATTTCTTGCTATAAGGATTGACCGAAGAGTAATTGAGGTCGAGGAATACGACTCTGAGATTAGTTCCGTCTACTAGAAGGAGGGTATACACACATAATTAATTAACTATGTTTATGCTAGACGAATATGCTCTATCCGTAGCTATTCGTAAAACAGTACTTCCTCGTTTTAGTTTCGTTTTAGGATTCGTATTACCAGAAACTCATCGCGTTTTGGCGTGAGAACGAAAGGAAACCCATTTATTCCTCTATAAAGTGAAGATTATAGTGGAGATGTTTATAGAAACGGCTAGTCGTGAGTGGCCGACCGGAGGGAGGCTGATGAACATCTAGACGTTAATTTGGAAAGTTAATACAATGTATAGACTTGAAAATTCTCAAGTAGCTTAAACGGTTTCTCGCAGGAGATCAACTGATATCACTTCGAGAGCGACTCGGCCTGGTTATGATTTTCCTGAGAATAAAGGAGAGATTAAAATATGTGCTGAAAGACACATGCTGTTATGTAAATTCTAGAAGTCTTTGATTGCAATTTCTTTCAATATGAGCTACTTAGTTTTCATATGTGTGAAAATGTCTATTTGACTGATAGTAAAATAGGCAATGCACGTCAATAGCTAGCCGTGAGTGGCCGACGGATGACTAGACGTGTGTCTAAGAGGCTTGATGTCAGTAAAATGAGTCACAGTATAAGACGTTTTGGTTAGTGATTTGGTTAATGAACTAAAACAAATCTTTATCTTATCTTAAGTATGGCGATCGATCCGATCAAATCCTTTCAGTAGAGCGTTAGCGGCACTTGCGCCGCGTTACTTGTGAATTTATTCACTATTGTGATAATGTATCAATGTAGATTTTGTTGTTGAAAAACAAACTAAATAGAAGACAAGTCTTTGTGTTTTCTTCCTAAAGAAATTAATATAAATTCAAGTATATTGCAATTGTATATATGAGTCATTGCACGTAAGCCACGACCTAAATGCATATATGTTGTGCCATCGAGGTTCTCAGATTTTGTTCAATTTTTGATATGTTATAGAAGAGAGTTTTTAATGAATTTTGACGCAAACCGATTTGAAAATTTTGATTCTTTCGGGTTTTATAAAAATCCGTAAAATTGCAAAAATTAAGGATTCGGGTTACAAATCGATCGATATCTCAAGAACAGCTAGACCGATTGAGCTGAAATTTTGTACAGATATACACCTTAGTAAGTTACATTTATGGTAAAATTTTTGACTCGAAATATTAAGCTGTTGGGTTTCTAGAGCCCCTTCAGTATTTGAAAAACCAAATTGATTTTCTCCCAAGATATCGGTCCGTTTCGGGCCGGATTTTCGCAGTTTGATAGTACTTGATCTAGGCTACAACCCCATAAAAAATTAGCTAGGGATCTCTAGAAACGGCTGAGAACGGAGGTCATCTTTCGGAGGGTTTTTCATATAGTCTATACTACTATATGACTTTGACGATCAATTTTAAATTTTTTTTCTATTGAGACCTAGGTAACTTTTTATAGAGAACACGATGGTGATACTCATTTCTTTTGATTGAGAACTATTTTCCCCTCAAAAACCCCAAAACTGAACGTTAGTTGAACATCTCTTATAAAATAGTGTATTTTATTAAAAATTTCTTTATCAAAGATAAAAATGAAAATAAAGATAAAACAAAGATATTGAATTGACACTATTGAATACCTATACACTATTTTCTAAGGAACGTTCAAACGTTTAGTCGGTGTTCCATAGTTTCAGTTTAATATTTTCTGTTTTATTTTTTGTTTTCATTTTTATCTTTAATAAAACATTTTCGAAGAAAACACACTGTTTTATATGGCATGTTCAATCGATGTTCAATAGTTTCAGTCCAACATGTTTCTTTTTATTATTAGTTTTAAGTTTATTGTAATTTTTATTTTTCAATAAAGAAATTTTTAATAAAATATACTGTTTTATAAGAGATGTTCAACTAACGTTCAGTTTTGCGGTTTTTGAGGGCAAAATAGTTTTTCAATCAAAAGGGTGGGTGTGGGGGTGTGGGCGTGGTAGGGTCCTGCGGGACCGGGTTTTTTCGTCACGATCCCGAGTATGTCCCGCTTGGATGAAACCCGTTCCGGTCCCGATCCCTGTAAAATACTCTTTCGGGATCCCGATTCTGGTCCCGCTTTCTAACCGGGAAACCCGTCCTGGTCCCGTTTAAACCCGATTTTTCTGGATCTACCAGAAATAGCTTTTAAACGCATATGTGGAAGAAGACGCAACTCGATAGCACTTCATAGTATTACGATTTGTTGATAGAAAGCTGACGTTGAAGCGTATATTATAATATTCTCAGTTCTTTCAGTCAGATGCTGTATCAAACTAACCGATTAAGTCGAAAAGAGAATGCATATTCGAGAAAGATAAAACAGTTCAATACATTTAAAGTGAAACGAGAAAGATCGAAGACAAGATCAATAAGGACAAATCTATACGATCAAAGACAGGAACGAAAGTCCATCGATGAATATAAGTTCAGCGACGAGCATGAAGGTGAATAGCAGACACCTTCAGTATCGAAGAAGCATCGAACTGGAAATAATAACACCGTATCAAGTGAAGATGAACTCGAAGAATGATCAAAACTTGTTGTTTCTTCAACTTTACTTATTTATTTATCTTACGAACATTGTTTTTCATTACATGTGTACACGTGTATTTTAGTTTTATTTTTAGGAAAGATTATATTGAATTTTTAAATAAAAAAGAAATTGCACTTCAATAAGATATAATTAGCTAAGTCCCGAAAAACTTTATCCCGTCCCGATCCTGGTTCCGTTGAAGCAGCGTTCGGAATTTCCAGTCCCGGTCCCGTGACGTCATCAGTCCCGATCCCGACCCCGATCCCAACGGGATCGGGACCGGATTCGGGAAAAAAATAGGGATCGGAGCAACGCCGCAGGACCCTAGGGCGTGGGTGTAACTATAAATATTACATAAATCACACACCTACACTCACACCCACACCCACCCCCTCAAGGAGAATAGCTCAAATAGCCCTCAAAAACTTACTAAGGGTATCCGTAAATAACTCTAAAAACCTTATACGATTCACCCCAGACAGTCCTTAAAAGATTATACGGAATATCCAAAGATAGCTCCTAAAAAGTTGAGAAAGGCCAACCTTAGTTAGATAACCCCTGAAAAGTTGCTAATAGATTGTTACCTTTGAGCCGACCAGTGCGTGGTACTGATCTGTTGGAACAGATCTTTCGGTCATTTGATCTGAACTTATGATATGAAGCTGTTTAGCTCTAGTGTTCCCTCTACAAGCCCCGGGAGGGTAACACTATACACTGCTCGATTCTTCGATGTAAAGTGTGAATACGTACGAGACTGAGTTCTAGCTCGAAAATTCCAACATAATTTGCATCGCCATTTGCCGTTTGTTGTTCTTAGAAACGTAAGTAGCTATACAGTTTCTCCTCTTTCTTTGTTAATACTTTTCTTGTTTACCAACTCTTTTCTTTTTCTTTTTGTCTCGTTCGTTTGCAAGCATTTGGTTCTTTTTCTCACTGAAAATGAGGAATAAGAACATTTTTTTTTCGTTTTTACTGCTATTACTCAAACGCCGTGACTTGAGTAGTGGAGAAAAAGCGTAGTTTCTTTTGCATCAAGTAAAGCAACCATAAAAACGAAATGCGAATAAAATTATGTTTTTTCTCCACTGTTCAAGCCATGGCGTTTGGTAAAATAATAGAAAGATCGAGAAACATGCCACATATTACTTTTCATGTTCAATAAGAATGACTAAATAGATTCCATAATCTTGAGAAATAACATCATATTATTAATATAAATACTCACTACCGTCTTTTTTTCTATATGTACGAATAAAAAATTGGACAAAGCCCAGACCCATCTATCAAAAAACTTGAAACAAATAACAAAAAACAAAGTTTAAACTTACATTATCTTAGTAAATCATACACGGTAGATAACACATTTATATTGAATAGAATACTCTTTAAGTCCGCTTTCTTTTTTTGTGATGTTACTATACAGGAAAATATACTTGCAACTTTTTAGAGTGTGAGCTCCATGGAATATGTAACATTACTTAGATCAAAATTCCGACCGCTCATTTCAATACTTACTGCTAAATATATTACATTGTTGAACACTTTGAATTTTGTTTACCTTATTATAATATCAATTCATCGATGCCTTCAATTCAAATAAATCGTAGGTGACAAAATACTTGCATCTTTTTTTTTGTTTCACATTTATAAAGTTGTAGAAGAGAAGAAACACACAACTGTGGTAAGACAAACAATCGTTCTGTAAACATCAACTTCTACAACAAATGAAGTACAAAAACAAATACCCAGTTAGATGTACAAAACTCTTTTCATATATCATGCTTATTGAAAATGCATTACAAGTATGTGTTGTTCGCATTTGTTAGTTGTGGATTTTTTCCCATCCAGCCTTAATCAAAAAGAAAAAAATCTCACTCGAATGTCTAGTCCCTATTCTCTTGTTGAGGGTGAATGAGGTGAGACAAGTTACTACAATACTATTAGTATCTCATTTTTACAGAAATCGAAGAGTAGCAAGTATTAAGTATCGGTATAATACACTCACGAAAAATCTATATATTATAGTCTGCTTTGTAATAATGACTTACTTGGTCCAAACTTTGTCGTTGGAATTATACTTTTAGTCATATGTCGAGTGTTGTTCGTGATAAATAATGTTTTTAATCGGAAACAAGTGAGAATTGTTAAATATTAAGACTACGACATGTTGAAATAATGTAACAGATAAAAAGTAGTTCCTGGGAATAGGTATCTAGAACAGAAAGAAAAACAAATGAGATTTGTTACTAAGTGATCGTAGAGTGCTTGTCTTTCCCCAGGTCGACCCATCCGACGTAAGATCCTATCGGATCCAATGTTGGTTCGTATCGGATCCTATACTGGATTCTATCGAAATCTGACGATCTGACAAAATCTTATAAGATTTCGGACGATGGATTCACTTCGGATATCGTCGCTTCGGAATCCCATTGAATCCAAATATCAGATTTCATAGGATCAGAGAGACGGATTGCATAGGTGCCTAAGCGCATAATACCATATAGCTGAAAAGAACGCTCATAAAATTTGCAGCAATTGACTGATATTTTTCCGACGGAATCCAGCGCAAATCCGTCGCCAGGATTTCTATAAGATTGCAAAGCATGATCAAATCCTATGAGATCCTATCGAATCCGTTATCTTATTTGTGAATCTGGATCTACAGAAGATTGGCGTTTTCCATGTCAGGTGTTACAGTATCGACAATTCGTTTCACCAAAAACTAAATGTAGTTTATGTCTGATATCCTACTCAGCACGATCGATTATGTTGTTTTCACAAATTTTTATGACATCGATGATATCATCTAGGAGTGGCGGATTTTGGCTTTTCTTCTTTATATTGAGTCGCTTTGTTTTCTCAAAATCGACTTTTTCCGCATTATTGTCAGTCCATTGTTTTGCTCGTTTCAATATTTACACGAATAAATCCTACGTATACTGATGACAAACATTGTTAGCATCCGAAAACTGCAGATTTGTGGTTGTTCCTTGGTTATTATTGAAAACTAGTTATGTGAAGATTTGATTGATTTTCGAGTGTTGGTATGGGTACGGATATAAGTAAAGTAAACATACACTCACACCCACACCCACCGTTCTATATAAAAAAATTAGTCTTAACAGTTTATCCAAAGAACTTATACATAAGAGTTATATAATCATGTAATTTTTGAATAGATCCAAACAATCTAACGAGTGTATTTGAATATCAAATTTTGAACGAGTTGTGTGTCTCGAACCGAATCGAACCGAACAGGTCCCATCTCTGCTATGTATTAATAAAAGTTATTTCAGACTGTTTTAGAACGAAAAAAAAAAGATTTACCATAAAAAAAACCGTAATCAAAGGGTTAAAATATTTTTCTAAAAAACCACCATTAGGGATGCACAGTTTCAGTGCAAATACTGAAAAACTGTCACTTTCAGCCCTGACAGTGGCGTACCGTAGCACTGACACCAGGTTCACTGATACTGTGGATTCACCTGGCACTGTCGGTATTCGTCGGTATCCGGGCGGTTCCACTGCATCAGTGAGCCCGGTGTCAGTGCTACGGTGCGTCATTGTCGGTGCTGACAGTGCACGGTTTACTGAAACTGCGCATCCCTAACCATCATGAATAAGAATATATTTTATGAACTTTCTTACTATACAAGAAGTGATGTATGGAAGCGTCGACTGTGAGTGATTGATAGTGACGCGAAAAGCACAATATAGTCCAATAAACGCTTTTGCCTGTCGTTTTTTCTCTTGTACTATTTTAAATTTTCTTTTTTTTTTGTATGTGTGTATCAACCAGTGTTCTTGCCAATTGTTAACCTTTTATGGAACAATAAACTGAATGTTAAAAAAAACCTTCACCCACACCCCACCCTTTAAAGGATGAGGCGAATACTATGCGCCTTATTTAGTGGCATCTTATGAAAATGTTTTAGATTGTTATGCATGGTTTGCTTCTATGGCTAACATCTTAGTTATTGGTGAAACTGGTTGTGGTAAATCCACACTCATTAACTATTTAACAAACTTCTTCAAAAATGGTACACTTAGGAACCTGAAAGTTGCTATACCAACAAAATTTCAGCCTGCTACCGAAGGTTACCGACATACTGAAGGAAATGTACATGATTGCACAGGATCACAAACTGCTGAATGTACTGAGTACAAGTTTACAAGAAATGGAAGAAATTATTGTTTTCTTAGTGAGTATCGAGATCAGTAGAAAAGTCATAATAGAGTCGATCAAGTTACAACAAACTGAAGTTCTTAGAAATGCAACTTAGAAGAAAATGAAAATTTTTTTACGTCATGTATGGCAATTTAACTTCAGAGACAGATAGGTGACTTAGCATTCTTTGATTCTTCTTGAAAACCAGTTCCTTCATCAACAGAGTTGACATCCATCGTAGCACAAGCTATTTTTGTTGAAAACTAGTCACAGCACGGCTCAGCGGATGGTCTTTCATTTTTAGACACTCCTGGTCTAGGTGATATAAGAGGTGCAGCTCATGATAACATAAATATTGAAATAATACTGAAAAAAGTTATGACATTAAATGATTTAGCAGCTGTCATTATTGTAATGAATGGCAACTTACCTTATTTAAACAACAGTGTTGTTGGTGTCATTAGAAAACTGCAGAATTATCTGCCCGACGTTGTTATGGAGCGTGTGATTGTTGTGCTTACCAACGCGTATTCCCACATGGCTATGATTAATTTAGAGAGAGTCTTGGAATTCTTAGTATCGATAGTATATCCATTTTATATGCAGAACTCAGCATTTTCAGCAGATCCCTCTAGATGGGATCAGGATCTAATGGAGAGACTGCAGTCTGACTGGGAGATCTCAATGGCAAATATAGAACGCTTCGTTGATCTCATTGACACATTTCAGACTGAATCTGTTCAAACATTTGCGCAAATTGCAAATATTCGAAATACAATTAAAAATATAATGCACAGTGCAAAAGTGGAAGTGCGAAATATTCAAAAAATACAGGAGGAAATTGTTGCACCTACAATAAAAGTTAAAGGATATGAAAAAGATCAAAATAAATACAAATACTATACGACACTAAACCAGGTACCGCATGATATTAAAGCAAAGTATGATGCTGCTACAAACAATACAAACAAAGCAAATCAAGATTTGATCACTGTGAATGGCAAAAAAAGAATACTGGAAGCTACATTAATACAAAAGCTCGATGATATTAAACGACAATGTACTGAACTCAAAAAGATTTGTGGCGGCTTCAATCTTGTTAATGAAATAAATGATACGATACACCAATTAGAGATTCCAAGAAACTCTATCCGAGATTTTGATGTACGTCGTCAAGCTGACGAATTTATCAATAATTTAAAAGCATTCTGTAATGCATTAGAAGCAACTGGCAGTCAGCAAAGAGTACAACAGAAAAGACAGCTGCAAATTGTCGATACTTATAGTTCATATCCTGTAGCAGCGGCGCAGAACACGAATCCTCCAACGCCTGGTGATCCTTCTTCGCTGAGTGATGAGCATCATTCAACACAACGTAAAAATTCGGGACGACCACATCGACCACGGTCGTCAGCAATGAATGGCGATAATTATATCAAGAAAATATTCGTTAGTGGATTTACACCAGGTAAAAAGCGTCAGAAAAAGACCATATAAAAACAACGTTCCCTCAAAATACAGGTTTATTTTTTCCGTCTCTTTTTATTTTATACGTGCCTTGATTCATAGCGATTTACAAAGATACTTTTCAACATACGGTAAGAATTATAGTTAAAACCATCCGCCCATTCATCGAAAAAGTTACACGCTAGAATAAGTCAGGTAGGTAGAAATTAGATAAACTGTTAAAAAGAGAAGAGAAAGTGCGAGCGACTTTTATCTCAAGTTTTGTAAAACAAAGCTACTGACACTTTGATCGAAACTGTTGACTTGGGTTTAAGACAGTTGCTCACAGGACATTTGCTCGTATCGACAGTTACTCGTATGGACACTTGCTCGTCGGACAATTGCTTGCCAGGGTGTGGGTGTGAACGTTGAAACAATAGAATACCTACACCCACCCACCCCCACACTCACACCCACACCCTCCCACACCCACACCCACATCCGCACCCACCCACCCACACCCACACCCTCACACACCCCGAGCTGCTTTAACTGCAAATATAGCAACTGAAAGTATGCTGGTATAGGTCAGAAATACTAATTAGGCTACAAAAATGATCGGTAGTTCGCCAGTTAACCGTATAGCTTATATAAGTTTTAAGGAAAAGATGCCAAAAATTTTCCAAACTCAAGTAGAGTGCCTCCACGCTAGCGTCTCGAGTTTCTATCTCTTCGACAGCAGTGTTCAGATTTCCGAGAAACGTAAATTTCGGAAAATACTGACAATTTCCACCAACATCGAGATATATGTATAGTCAAAAAAAAGAATCTACAGAAATTACAACGAAATTTCTTAATATTTTAGATATTTGTAAAGAAGTCAATATACAGCATTATATGCATATGAAATTTACTCGAAACTGACTAGAAATTTCCATATTTTCTTTTCATTTCCTACCCTGCCGCGCTCTCATATATAAATAGTACTATATTGTATTTATGTAATTTACTCGAAATTTACCAGTAATTTCCATCTTCTCGTGGCTCTTTATACAGGGTGGGCATATGGTATGTGTATCGTTTTTTACATTATGTATGTGGAAATTTCCGTACGTGCTTGAAATTTCTTATTTAAGGATACGGCTTTTTAGTATAATGTTTATTAGCTGTTGATTATGGGAAATGGGAAATTTTGGAAATTGCTAAAGTTTGCTGTTAGTAGAAATCTAAGCATACCTCGCATCCTACGCCAAATGTAAGAAGAAGCACTTAGAAGAAAGTTTAGAGTAGCGATTCGTCGCATTCATCGGCCTCCATTTGTAAATGCATCTGATTTTACCTCGTTGACACATGAAAATTCGTTTGACAAATACGTGAAACCGCACATATCAAGCAGATTAATAAATATGTATTCGTCCGACTTAGAAGTGTAGGTATGGGTATATGTGTGTGTAATAGGTGTAGATATCAGTTAATTCTGATATTCTAACACTCATATCTGCGCTCAGATCGATACCTACATCCACATCAACACTCACACCTACACCCTCAATGCATTTCACACTTTGTTTATCTTCAAAATATCTATTGTTCCAAAATTGCTACAAAAGTATCTGTTTTTGATAGGTTCATCATCCGTTCCATCAAAAACCAGCCCTTTTTATGATGCGTGCCGAACAAATGATATCAGTTCAGTTCAATATTATTTGGAAGCCATGTTAGTGGCAGAAGTTGACCGAATCGAACCAAATGGTTCTAGTGCACTTCATGCTGCAGCATACCATGGGCATGAGAAGATTGTTGAGCTGTTACTGCGCAAAGGTGCTAGTTATTCGGTAGTAAATAAATACAATTGTACTGCTCTTGAAGAAGCCAAAACCGATAGGATAAAGCAATTAATACAACGTCGTATGAATTACAGGCGTTTTGTGAGTGACTCTGTCGAATGGATCCTTCAAACAGATAATGCCGATTATCAAGCACATGAATATTTAAAAAAATTAGAATCATATGGCAAAAATCCAAACTTTTACAACTTTATTACTTACATAAAACAAAATTACCTTGAAAAAGAATTACAAGATATAGATGGTATCAATACAATAAAAGAATATTTTGATAGAGCAATCGATGAAAAAGATCCAATTTATTTATTAACAGCGTATACAGCTGAAACGGATTTTTATTCTACACTCAATGTTCATTTAGCACAGTTACGTCTTAAGAATTTAACTGCCGAAGAGAATCTTAGTCGAGCTTATTATATTGGAATAATTGCACGTCATCCCAAATTTGAGATCTTGTCTTATACTGGAATGACATATCGAGGTATGATGATTACTGAGGATGATATAAAACAGTATCAGATAGGCAGCCGGATTTTGACAAAAACATTTTCGTCAACATCGAAACAATACAATATAGCACTAAGATTTCTCAACAACAATCACAATGCAAATGATCGATTAAGTACGATATGTGTTTATCACATACGTAATCAAAGAACTGCATTAGACATTGAAAATATATCTCTATTTCGAGATGAACAGGAGGTATTAATTCTGCCTTATTCAGCGTTTAAAATAATTGACATTATACAAAATACAACCAAATCAGCAATGGTTGAGATACAACTAAAAGAGTGCGAGCCATGGTAGAATGCACTATTCACTAGTATTTGATTTTTTTTAATCACGAGGCTTTTTTATACTTCATTTATTAATATATTATACAAGAATAAAACTAACAGAAAAATAATATTTTTATTATACCATTGTAATAGAAATTATTTTATTAGGGAGAGTGAGTGTGGGTGTGAGCGGGTGTGATTGTAGGTACTTTATTTATTTTTAATTAACACCCACACCCTCAAGATGAATAAATTAGCAAATATTAGATTTAAAATATTTTTTGGGTAAAATAATTTCAAGAAATTGTCTCATCGTGGTACATCACTGATTTTGAGGTTTGCCCAATGAAATTATTTTTCTCCATTATTTTAATATTTGTTTTTAGATTATTTAGTGAATATTGTTATCTTTGAGTTAAATCACAGACGTATTTTTTTCTTAACTAATCTCTTCTTGACAAGTCGATAGAAAGGAACAGAAGAAGAAAAATAAAAGTGTTAAATCCTGTACATACATCTTATTGTTTTCTTTTCATATCATATAATACCCTACTATGAAATAAATCAGACGAAAGATTCGACGAGATTAACGGTTGTCTTGTTTTTTTTGCTATCAATAAAAAATAAAAGTATGTCATTTGAGGAGACAACCTTTAGAAAACACTGTTTTTACACGTTTTACAGCGCACAATTGAATAGTGTCAAAACAAATTTTTCAAAAAACGGTAAAAATCTTTTTTCTAAGAAAAACGCGTTTTGAAATCATTCAAATTTTCATTTTTAATGGCGTTTTTTCACTGATGTTTTCGTTCTACCTCAAATTTTGTCGAATTAAAAACTTTTTGCCTATCGACAAAAATCTTATTCATTCATCGAAAAATCTTGACTGCGCGACTGATGAAATGTAAGAGAGAGAAAGTAAGAAATGAAAATAAAACGTGCTCTGCTATTTTGAAGATTTCAAAAGACAAAAAGTATTAAAATATATACTGATTATGACTTGAATAATTTATAATAAAATGTTTTAGTAAGAAAAAGAAATAGATTCTCACATTTCATTTGATTTATGTTTAAGTTTTTCAAAACATTCGAAGATAATGAATGATAATCGTATCTTCTTTTCTGTTTAAACTTAAAATTCCAGATAAATCAATATCATCATCTACATTATCTATACAATCATAATCACATTCATCATCATTTTCTAATAATTCAATAGATTTTATATCATTATAGGACAATATTTCTTATTTTCTATATTTTGTAAGAAAAACCTCAAGATTGTAACTTCCACAATCTTGAGACTCAGAATGAATTTTTGGGTGTGGATGAGGGTAAGACAATCTCCTGTACCCTCACCCTCAAGCCCACCTCATCTCCAAACCCTCACGCTCGTATTTACCTCATCCACTCACCCTCATCCTTCCAAATATTTAAATAATTCCTAGATAATATCATTGATATTTGTCTTATTTTCTACGATTTGTTTTATCAATTTCTATAGTATCTACGAAAGAAAGAAAGAAAGAAAAATAGGACAAAACGATAATAATGTGATAGTAGTATCTGCAGACACAACGTGAAAAAACCGCTTGTTTTTGTCACTTTGTGCTATATATATACGTAAGGAACGATAATAATAAAGAAAAGGCGGAAAAAATAACCTTCTCTACAGACAGAGAATGGAAAACAAAACAACATTTTATCTCTTGACAAAGTATGTAGACGATAGAATAATATAGAAAGACGCAAAGAAAAATCTATCGTCTCTTATCAATCGTTTTGTAGAAGGTTATCGTGATACACAATAAGACTTTTTAGTATATTGAGTTGTCTATTTTATTTATATTATATGCGTCTTACTGATTAGTTATATTCAAGGAAATTTGAACAATATATAACAGAATTAAATTTATATTATTACAAAATTATAACAAAAATCAGGTAAAGCTCTGATATTTTTAATACATTAGTTTGAAGAATAGAAAAAAATTCGACTTGCTGCAATAAAAGAGCAAGTTTTGGTTTTATGGGATGAAATAAATAAAAACTTGTTTAATGAAATTTTCATATATAATCTCTATTCTTTATGAAGAAACTACATTTTTCTTCCAGATAGTCGTTCATAGTTCGTCTTTGTATGATACTTTTCGAAGCAGCTAACAATACAGAGAGATGCATCACTACAAATATTATACAATGCACAAATAATGGATTTTTCTTTGCGGCTAGTTTGATTGTGATGTTTGTGGAATAAACATAGGAAAATATGTTCGATTCGTTCTTATTTTTCTCTTTTACTATTCGAACAAGAGTTTATTTATATTAGAATACAGAACAGGAAAAGAACATTTCAGAAACATAGAAAATGATCTTATAGTACTAGAGAAAACAGTCGATAATGATTATGAAGAGAAAAACAGAAAAACAGAAAAAGAGTGATTGTATTGGAATGCATTCGAACAACAGATAGTATATGTTATTATAGAGAACGGAAGAAAGTATATATAGAATATAGATGTATAACACAAACGATCAGAAAGAAAAAAGAGGATTATATTGATATGGCATCGTGTAATAAACGATAGAAGATGTTCTAAATAAATAAAGAATGTACTAGAAGCATCTTTTTCTCATAAGTATGCATTTAGACGCACAGATGTGTTTTGTTTTTTTTATAAAAATTTATATTTGCAATAAGAAAAATAAACAGATTTTTACATATCATTTGATTTACCTTTCAGTTTTTCAAGACATTGCAAGACTATGTATGGTAATAACATTCTCTTTCTTATTGTTATTATCACAACTGTTATTATTTTGAATGTACAATCCGGATGTTGTGAAGAAGAAAAAGATGGTTCTGATCCAAAAAAGAAAGAAAGTGATGAATCATATGTATTCAGCTGGGTCAAGAGTCGACCAAAAAAGTTTTGGGGTATGTTAAAATACTCATACTACTCAGATGTCTGAGGATTTGAAGCATTAGATATCATTAAGGTTTGAGAGAATTTCATGAGTTTTTCATGTCAAACTTTCATTGAAAATTTTAAATCCCATTTATTTTTCATAGTGTAATATATGTATGTTATATATCTAAATGTATTTATTCTCTCCCAAAAAAGGATTCAATACATTTGCACCGCCAGCGTGGATGACTAGATATCTACCTGGTGATCAATGGCCCTTTTGGGGTATTAAAACGGAGAAAGAATATTCAAACGATACTTTCCATATAACTGTTGAGTTTGATGCTTCATCTTTTACCATTGAAACACATCATAATCAATCCATATTCGAAATAAAAAAAAAGATTCAACAAAAAACTAATTATAATTTTAATCCACAAAGCCTAGTATTACTATCGAATAATGATCATAAAATATTAATAATCATGGACAATGAAACGAAACTGGGTGATTATATGAATAGCACTTGTGAGTGCAATGACATTTGTTCACAACGACCTGATTTTACTTCATGTTGGATGCAAAACTCAGTTCTCTTCACTTGTGATCAATGGAAATTAATAGTTACTAAGCGGTTAATAAAGACAGATATGATATTCACTTCTAAGCCAAATGTGACACATTATGAATATGCAATGATGAGTTTGCATGTATACGAACCGAATAAACCGTTTCTTCATGATTGGTATGTAACAGACCACAATCCACCGCATAAAAATGGTTTAGCATTTGCTATCTATATGAATACAAAACGTCATCAATTAGTCGTGTCTCTTCGAGGAACGATAGTAACAACGAATTCATCGAGTATATTAGATAATATATTGACTGATATACGTTTATTCTTATCTGATCAAAATATAGATACATTTGATGCAGCTCGTTTATCGTTGTTTGATGATGAATCAATAATTATTCCGCATCTAGATTCACTCACATATAGTGTTTCATTTACTGGACATAGTTTAGGAGCAGCATTAGCAGAATGTCTTGCTTGCCATTATCAAGCTTATGCGATAACATTCGATTCTCCTGGAACAAGTAGGATATTAAATAATGATCCAATTTGTCAAAGAAATATTAAAAAAGACGGTTACGAACCGGAAAAGAAAATTCGTACTTATTTAGGTAATTATGCAAATGTAATTAACGCTGCTAATCCGCAATTCGGTGATGTCATGTATCTAAAACAATTTGGTATTCATCATCACACTAGTCCGAATGAATTTTATTATATTCATTCATCAGCAGAGTCTATCTTCCTGGCTGCCTGTCTTTTTATGAATACTGCTAAAAAACACATATTTAAATTGGGTCTTTGGTTTTCTATCATATGTTTCATTATGAAATCGTCAAGTATTTCGTACATTGGAAACTCTTGGAATTTAAATGGTAAAATTTTCAACAGTTTGATACAATCTTCCGCGAAACTATCGTTGATTGGCGAGAAACTATCGCGTATTCTCACGATACTATCGTTTATTCCCGCGAACCTACCGCTTATATTTACAATTCTTCTTCTTTTTCATTCAATTTCAACCCTAGCTGACATTATAGAACGTCTTATGTGTGGTTTATCTGTTAGACTACGACAGTTCTATCGATCTCCATCGAGGATTCAATATATATTGGATAATACTGGTATTGTTTTGCGAGAGTTCTATCAATCTCTACCGAATGAGATTCAAGATAAATTGGATATCATTGGTATTCCTTTGATGCGACAATTCCATCGATTTTCATCAATAATTAAACTTATATTGGTTAAGTTTGGTAGTTTTCTGAAACAACTATTCCATCAATTTTCATCAATAATTAAA